CGAAGTATGGCTGACGTCACCATTAGCGACCGATGTACCGGCATAACGCTGCACGCACGGAGCCGAGGACTGACGGAGATTCACGAACTTGCACGATCACGGCATGCTCATGAGTTAGTCCGATCACGACTTACTAACCGTCTGAAAATATTCGGCCGCGCTCGATTCTGTCGTTTCTTGGCCGGTTTTGAACCTGCATTCGAGGTTCTGAATCTCTGAAGTCAGATCATGATGCACGAGGATATGTCGAAACACTTTTATGCATGACTATTACGAAAGTCTTCATCCGAAAATATTATGGACTTTAAGTTCATTGTGTTTTAAGTAACGGTTTTAACATGTTTCAGGTTATAAGAACTGCAGGGAATTCATTATACAAGTCGATATGAGACATTGTTTTACCCAGGTAGGGAAGACTGATATCAGTTGAAAAACGGTATCGAATGAAGCAAAATTGTTTAATCTGCCATCTATTGGCAATGGATAAATTATAATTGCCTGATCGGCTGTAATGTTTTATGAAAGGTGACGGAAAATTTCACAAGAAACTTTTGTCAGAGTCATCGGTAACATTAATTAAGATGTAATTCGTTTGTATTTCAACCACCGACACTCTCTTCTATTTACGGTTCTGAATCAAAAAGAGCCCAAGTCCCCTTTCTAACCGTGAATATTTTCTCGAAAATGAACGCTCAAGAGGAAGGGACGAACGTAGTCGCGTGCCGCCATTAACGCTCAAAGCCATGACCCGGAAACTTAAATGAACCCTTAGAACTTGGAGGAAGGCAATTTCCTTAGTGAATAACGTGCACGTCGTGTGCACAACCCCTCCGGTCACGCATACGCGGGACAATAGTGCTTAACATGACTGCAATTTGCGTGCCTCAATAGATCATGTTGCACAGGGCACCTACTTTATTTTCAAAGATAGCCTATCCGGCTTTGCTGTAGTTTTTACTGACGTTTCGGATGGCGGGTAAATGAATTGCGATGAATTTACGGTAAATCATTTTCGAAATTATGTCGAGAGCCTTAGAGTTTCACAAGAGAACCGTTATAACGTATTGGGATTGGTCGGGACATGCGTATCTCGGCCGTTATTTAAAATATGCGCCACGAGTGACATCTATTGGATCAAGTGACCTATAGGTCTCTCGTGTAGTCGACAGCCGATAAAACAGGAATTTTTCAAGTATCGCGTAGTCAGATGTTTTATTCAATGAATATATCCTGTTGTCAGTGAAGAACACACTGGAAATTAATAAATAAAAGAGAACGACTATTCGTATAATTAAATAAATCTCGTATACTTTCCATATTATTTTTTGCCGTAGTTTAGTAAAACTATTCAGAAAGTATTATTGTACAATAATCGTTCAGGATCATACACACAAATTCTGTAGCAATACTCTCGGATCACCTGTACTACTTTTATACCATCTACAAAAAGTCACTTTTTCCATAGAGACATGTCGTACCAACCCTACTACTTTTGTGAAAATTACATTAGTGGTTTCCTAATCTAAAGTGTAAATTACAGGATTATACAGGAAAGGGGATTACACCGGTTTAACATAGTACAAAAAAACTAAACATACAAACCACAAAAACGTAATACAAACTTTATTGTCAAACAAAAGTATGTACGGTAAAATAAAATGTAATGATTAGTAGAGGAGATACGTGCTGGATAGATGATCATTTATGACGCATGATGTTTGTAGGTAGACGTAACGCTCTCTCAGCAGTCCCCGAACTCCATGTGATCCTAATAAATAAGAAAAGAAAGGAAAAAAAAAAAGAATTCGAACTCATCTGCCGAGTCGATATTTAATATCTCGTAATAAGGACGCGGATTCTTTATTTTTTAGAGTCACTGTAAGCGTAAGACGAGTAAGGTCTTCGGAGTAAGCTTAGAAGTTTGAGAGAGGTCAAAGGATACCGAGAAGTCGAGTTACATATTACGTGTTCACCGTGTAGTTAATTCAAAACTTTCATATATCATAGAAAAATGTCAGTACACAACGCAGTAGGAAACAGACGTCTCACGTGCCATATATTGTCCTCAGCTTTGACGCATTAACCATCCAAGTCTAACTTTATATCATGAACATAAAATGTACCGTACTGTCTCATTCCCATTTGCGACATGAGCTGTTTCACGATGTGCGAGATTTCCCAGTGCGAAAGATCGCGTCCCTTTTATAAGGTCACTACGTTTACGAACGTAGACCGCATAAAAAGATCCAAGTCCCCTCGTGATAGGCAACTCAAGTTACACAGAGAGAAATTCATCTTCCGGTTTCTTGTCCCGATAAAGGGCCATTTTACTGTAGGACTGCCCTTAAGGTAAATATTTTATTTTCTGTTGAATATTTAAATCTCATTTTCTTTTATTGGAATCATAAGGTGATACTCTTGGAATTTTGACAGTATTTCATTTAATGCTCGTACAGCTTTTCATGAAGGGTGAATGAATTCTCTTTAATTCAGACAAGTTTTTCTTTCCCACCGTGAAGACCAAAGTAACTTAGTTGAGAATTTTCATAATATTATAATTTTCCGCCGTATAATTTTTCCGATATTATTCTTGGTAGTAGAAATGGCATAAAATTGCGTGTTGTCGTACAAACTTTTTTTTTTATAAAATCAACCTGTTATTGTCTTACAGAATATTTTTTGAATTCCCAGGCTACCGTATAATTCGATAAACGCGTCATGGGTTCGGATCTCAAATGCGACTAGGAATTTATTCGCGGCATGTACTACGGTCTTGACAATTTTCTTAAGTTTTTAGCTGATGGCCGTTATATTCGTAAAAATATAGTGCATCTGTTTTTAAAAATTAAACTTCATCGTTGTAAACAAGTATCATTTATATAACAAGTATCATTAAATAGTAAGTAGAGCAGTTTTATGTGTGTGCTTGTACTATGTTAAATGAGAAAATGAAGTCGCATTCCGTAGAGGAAGGAGAGTCTAGCTCATTTATGTAATGCAGGGTAGAAGAGCTATAGGTATATAGACCTCAAAATTGCTTTGAGTAGTAATAGATGAAGTTCGGCCAAACACCAACCCTCTCCACGCCTAAGTAACCATTTCGTATATCCACATTCAACGAAGCATAAATTTCTAAAAAGTGCTTTTGAGCTTTTATAATTCATGTTTAATTTAATTCGGCCTTCTATTCCTGTAATATTTCATAACCCACCTGTACACCGATCTGACAATTTATTAAGGAATAATAAATAAATCACTTACGTCATACTTTAATCCCCCGTTAAATGCGTGTCAGTAGGCTGTCCCCCGTAAAGATTCATGAATTTCTCGTAATCGTAAGCTTTTCCAACGTGATTAAATGCTTCCAAAGTGTGTACAGTCGATCCCAGAGCAGTCCCTCTTCGCAAGATTATTAGGAATCCCCCGCGGTGAGATTTCGTGAACGATTTCGTCTTATCGAGGGAGGAAGTCTCCTCCGACAGCAGATCGAAGTTGGCAGAGAGTCGAGCCGACTATAGCTAAATTGAATTGAAAACGAAGAGATTTTCCTCGGGACGCTTTCCAAAGAAATCGAAGTCTGGCTTCCCTTGGTCGATGCCAAGCATCATTTAATGGAGCTTTTAAATTCATAGCGCGTGTTCGCGTCTAGAGGCTCGCCTACCTCTCTTAGACCTTCCGTATCGGCATATCAGCTTGGGACAGCTCCCAAGGTAGAGGTAAACCCGATTAGGCGCAACACTAAATCTCATTCAACCAACCCCCTATTGTTAAGTACGCCTTGCTCGGCAGCTCCCACCTCCACTGGATTATCAAGCGGCTGTCAGAGGTGGTGCAGGTCCGTTGTACGTGGGGCCCGTTCCCTCAGTCCCCGTCAACTCCCGCGAAACGTTTGGGGATCAAGACGATAAGGTAAGATTGATTGCCCGAGCGTCCACGTGCCAACTCGCAGACATCGAGAGTTCGAGTATCTTCGCGATAACCGTCATTTTTGCATAATCAAAGGAACCTCTCGTACAAAGAAAACTCGTATACTTTTCACCGAATATTATTATATAATACCGCTGGGTAACCCGATAAATATATTTCATCCTTATATTAAAAAAACTTAATCAGACTGAAGTACAAAGATGGTCGAAAAACAGATTATTCATACACGAGATCATAAGTTGTCAAGCGAATGTCACATACGTGGTTCTAAAATGCGGTTTGCGAAAATATTTTCGCACTCCGTATATTATCCGTCGCGTTAACTAAGTGCTTAACGAAGGGCTCGATAGTTTAGGTGGTAACAACCATAACGTCATTAAACCGCAACTCTGCTAATAACAGGAAGCTTAAGTCTCTGTAACCGCCAAACCAGATGGTAAGAGTGGATCGCATGCATCACTGTCACGTAAATTGCTTCTCCTGCTTTCTACCCGCTTCCATCTTTGCGATACTCGCTCCTTGTCTATACGCTACATACATATACAGTATATGCATATATATTTTGAGGTTCCTCACGCCCCTACATTTGGGAAATCGGTTTATAAGGGTCACGTGAGTATCTGTTTCGTGGGCTGGTACATACGGTAATATTTTGAATTCAATCGTCCGTATAAAACAAATGGCACGAGAACAAGCAAATTACACTTGAACCCAAGTAGCATAAGACAGGAAACATACTGTTATTCCGCTGTATTCTGCGGGATAGAAAATTGATGCAGGAACAATTTTTTTATAGGGATTTCTTACTAGGATGATCTCTATTAAGGTTACTGTCAGTAGATTGATTTATGTGGATTGTGTAAAACAATAGAGGATTTCGAAAGAGATCGGGTTGCTGGGTCAATCTGACCATGGATTACAGAAAGAGGATTATTAGAAACTAGTATTGCACAACGTGACACACGTGCAACTGTCGGTAAGATAAACAAAGAAATAAGTGAATATATAGCAAACTATAACTCATAAACTCAATTTATTAATTAAAATTTTCATGCAGCTTTGATAGTGCTTACCTGGTCACTGTCATGACCCTGCCAGCTGTCGTGACTCTGCAACACAAAACGTACGTAACGTATGAGGAACATTAATTCGTTTAGAATGTTTTACAGACTTGATAAACGTATACAAAGCACTTGAAAATTTTGATGCTCGATGTGCTGTAGGTATTTCATATAATCACTCCATTATACAGGACATTAAAAAAAAAATGCATATCATAAATGATGCAGTACGTCAGCTTGTCTGACAGAGGACGATCCATTTTGTTTATTAATATTACATTGAATTTTCAGAAATTCTATTAAGTGACAAGTACATTAGCAGAGACGAGGTATCGAGTCCCATGAAGCTGAATGCTTTTTGTACCCACTGAAGCTATTCACAGACTGACAGAATAAAGCCGCAAAATGATATCTTTGGACATACGTATGTGCATTAAAACGAAACCGGAGCTTCTACGTGGTAAAAAGAGAAAAACAAATTTACTGCAAAAATTCCGCCTCCTGTATTGTAATGCCCGTAACAATGCACGTAAAGCACGGTGCGTTGAACTGTCAAAATTTTAGACGATCATTATCACACAAGTAACGAGTAATCCTGACGCTGCATCCACTCATCGTGCTAACGATCATTATTCAAACGATATTACATGCGTTCGTTAAAATCAAGTAATGAAACAATATGTACCTTCGTCAATAAAAAAACGGCACCTATTTTCAATCACACAATTTCAATCTTACGACCGTAGATAGATTCATATTTTCTTCTTGTACTTTAATGTGAAATGTACCCGCAACACATGCAATAGACTTACGTATACTATATCAACGACCTAAATGTCGTGCAACCTGCAATACCTCTCGTCATTTGTTCGTGGCGAAAGCAAGCTAACCGATACGCGATACAATGACGGTTTATTAAAGCGTAGTAAATAATATCTACACCATATGAAAGCACAGTAACGTTTTATCGGACACAAGGTTGGTTTGTGTCGGAGGTACAAACGGCAGTCGCGAGGTTAATGTCGGAGTGTGTGTTGTCAGATTTATGGGAACAATATAAGCGAACCGGCCACCGCGCTGAATCACGTGATCTGTGCGCCATAGGTTCAGCTACACCTAGCGGCGACTCGACAGACTATCGAATTATCGTGAAAAAAGAACACGGAATAACAGACCAGCGCCATCTGGAATGAATTCGTATCATAAAAGAGCTTCGTTCTCGATGGTCTCGAGAAGACAAATGGTGCTCGTATCAATATCGCTTTACCATGGAATAAAAATAAAAGGCAAATTATTCATAGTTGAGATTAAATCAGCTTAACTCGGGCTCAGCTTAGTTATATCTGTACTGTGAATTAAATTATAATGGGTAAAACTAAGTGAAGTTTTGTGGAGAGATACGGAAAATATTTTATGGCTGAATTATTTTTGGGTCGACCTAAATCATGTTCTTGCAACGGCTAATGTTGCTGCATTTGAGTACACAGTTCTCATTAGTGTTGAGAATCAAATTCATTAGTCATCCTGCTAGTCACAATTATGTACTTAGGGACATGTACAGTAATTAAGAGAAAGATAAAATAGTATGTACTTTGACCATTTTTACCAGACTTTTTCCTTGTCTATGCGTTTATTCGTTTAATAACAGGATAAATGTTTAACGAGAATAAAAATCCATTAAAGTTACTTGTTTATAATGGTTTTCCCATACACGTCTGATAATACGCAGCAGACAATATACTACAGTATGCTTTCAGAAAGAAGTGAATTTAAGTGAGTTCCTAGGAGCTGTTAGGATAATGGAGGAGGAGAAAAAAGGCGAATGAGATAGACGTAAGTTTCGTAGGCTGAACTCGAGATGTAATCATTTAATAGAGTTAAACAATGCTGAAACTGAACAGGATAAGGAAGTGAGAGGGGAAGGTCGGTGAGTGGACTCATTATTTGCTGAAGTTCAGCAGACATTTTACAAGCCATTAAATGCAGGTTTTCTTACTCATACAATTAACGACAGCTATACGTTTTGTCAGCTCTCTACACCGTAGCACTTTAATCGAGTCTTGTTTTCCAGAGGGAATGAATTTTAAAACGATCTCGTTGAATAATATATCAAATGACAAAATGACGTCGATTTAATTACTCAACATTGCTCTCGTGTTGCCGAGAGAACAGAAGATCAAATTATTCACAATTATACCATTGGAACCATCGGTAAACGTATGGCTGTAAAATATAATAAAATGGGGAGGCATTAGATTTATGCAGAACGCAAAGCTGACTGAAGGTGGTTAATGACACCATACGTAAGAGACGTCGACATTGAGAACACAGAAGCGGATGGTAAAATAGTTATAAGATAGTTATCTAGCATGATTAATAGACGCCACATTGCTAGAAGGAGGCCATAAAACCTGGTTCCGTTGGAGGTTTCCCTAATAATTTAAATGTCCATTGCATTTTCACATAAGCTAGATTTACGAGCGTGCGCATTTGCAATTGACACCCCTGAGAGCTGCATTTTCAGATTAGAATGAATTTCCTAAAGTCTGTCGAATAAATCAGCCAGCAGAATGAACCGAGTTCATCAATGAATTTCAAGATGAAAGGCAAAGCGATATCAGTGACTATCATCCGTAATACGAAGAACAGTGGAACCTTGATGGCGTCCAATAACATAAAGCTGATATAACGAGCGTCGTGTACACTACGAGTTTCAAAACCGTCGTTCAACACGTAAGACGATTAAATACTGATAACAACTAAGTCTTCTTCTTGTACGAAATTTCATTCCAAGTTTACTTAACGTTAGTATATCTATAGTGAATATGATGGTCAGAGGTATTATATGCCATGCAATATTACTGATTCACCTATAACACATAAGTTCGCCTATAGCACAAAAGCCATGTAAATTTCATTAGTAAAACAATCATAACGTGCTGGACCGTTTGCGCAGTTCTGGCTTGCTTGCCTCCATTTGGGCATCTCAATTTAGCCGAGACACAGAATATAAACCAAGAATGTTGGGTTTGCTGAACGGAGGGATTAAAGACTCCGAATTTGGGGCTCGCCGCCTCGTAAATTCAGTCTTACAAGGGCTTTCAAGGGCTTTCCAAGGTTCCCACCATCAAGAACCCTAACCTCTAAGTTCCTGTCTTGTAGCCGACCATACCTACATTGCATGCAACTCACTCTGACAATATACCTTCTTAATTATGAGAACGTGTCCCTCGCAATAATTAATAGCGTCCCACGATCCTGCTGCTTTCTGAGCATACGCTGGGCAAAGTGAACACATAGGTGCTGGTACTACCCTACCGGTAGCCCTTTAGCACGCTGAGAGCGGCACCGCTCCCTAGGTCCCGCCAGTATCAGATATTCAGTCTTCCACCTGATCGTCTCTTGGAGCTCGCCTTTTTCCGTTCCTTATCCCATTATCTTGTGTCAATGACTTGTACACTTGTGCATTGGCTGCACCATTCGCACAGTCCAAACGAAAGATGAAAAGGTGAAACCAAGTCGTCACCGCGTCTCCGTGTAATTTTTTCATACTCTTTATCCCAAGCACCCGTTGAGCGCTCGCTGCCGTCTGAACGGAAAGGATAGCAAAATCGGCGCCGCGCTCAACGTGCTAAATTCATATTACATAACCGAACCAGCTAGGAATAACAATCTAGGAACTATAGGGACAGTGAACCTCAGGAAGACGCGTGCCGCAAAATTATTAACTGTATCCACGCATTCCTTCGCATGGTATAAACTCTCTGTATAGCGTGCACCCTTGGTAACCTTTGAGGTTGAGAAGCCTGCATACGTTGTGGAAACGTTTGTTCCACGAGTTCAGCCAAAGTTACGACTTCACCTTGCGACGTGCCAGAACTTGAAGTTTCTAAAGTTTATAGAGCAGGATATATAGAGAATCTTCGGAAGTTTCGTTTTATTGCTGAACTCTTGTGCAGTTGTATGAATAGTACGTTGTATTCAGGACCTTGTGTACCTGTACATTGGAAATATTTTTTCGTGGTTTCTTCTGGGATGCAAATGTCTGTTTACATATGTTAAAATTTTGGGACTATTCTATAAGGATCAATATACTTAGTGACGCTATGTATACAGTATGTAGATCTATACTGAAAAGCCCTTTCACTCTCGTTTCTGCAAAAGAGTGAAAGGTAATGTAGTTTACTTCAAGAAAGCTCTCTCTCTCTCTCTTTCTACCTCCCCCCCCCCACCCATGAAAAGTGCTTTTTCCCTTATTAACGTAATGGAAGTTGTATCCTTCAAGTTACTAATACCCATTAGCCCGTTTATCTTAGAACCTGATTACGGTGTAGATAATAGTTAGAGTGAAGTGAGGATAGGCCGCGCCACCCAGTGGCTTGTCGTAATCAAAGTGACTACAACGTCGAGGGGTCGCGAGGCCCATATCTTCTTCCTGAATTATGGTGGAAACTCACGGAGTAATTTTGGCAGGATGGGAACTGAAGTGAAATGAGACGGGACAGCAGAACTTTTATCTTTCCCTGCAACCCTTTCATTCCTTGATATACTGCTTATATCTTACCTATATGTATATATACATATATAGGATTATATATATATATATATAAATATATAGGATTCAAGCGTTCAGGAATGGGTGGGTCAATCTAGTCGATAGGCCGAAGGATTTATATCGAAATACGCACACCCACCACTTGTTTCCCAGTAGCCCAGGATACTATTCGATTCTCATCCATCCCCAAGCAAATTACTCCCCGTCATTCCTAACTTTGATAAATGATTCTAATTAGGCGAACCGTTACGGGCCTAATAGGCAAGAGATTGTTTCGTTGAAGGATATAAATAATTTGCCAAATGTATTTCCGTGAGTTTTCAATTTAGTTTCAATTGAAAGGCTCAACCGCGTGGCGATCGTGGACGTGATGAAGGTGAGAAATAAAATGAAATCGCGCAAAGGTTATAAACGATATCGTACGTCAAGTTTCTCTTCTTGCTATTCGTGACCATGAACGGTTTCGATATACACGATTTTATTGTTTCCCATC